CATGTCAAACCCTAAAAGTAGAGTTATAGATAAAATAGAATGCAAAAAAAAAAAAAGGCATTGAAAATGAACTTCAAGTCTCGGGTCTCTTCAAGTCTTGATCTCGGGTTAAACCTCCAAGCGCGTTTTTCTTTATTCTGTTGTGTATATCTTGATCTATTCAACAAATTTCAACTCTCAATAGGGCTTTCAAATAGAATATCAACTAGAATTTGCCAAACATATTTCAAATATAATTTCAAAAGCATTCCAACAAATAGAATTCCTCTTAATGGTGATTTTAATTAGAATTTTCAATTATCTTCAAAATAGAATTCAAGGCACACCCTAATTCTAGCATCTTGAAAAATATTTATTATTTAGCACTATCCTTTATTTTTTCTGGCTTTTCTTCAAATTATTATATTATTTTTCTCCATTGAAAATTGAAATATTTTAAATAATTTAATTATAGATAGTGTGTTTGGTTCTCCAAATTAGAGACTCAAACTCGCTCTTTAAATTAAAATGTTAATTTAAAGAGTCTATTTGAGCATAATTTTATGTGTTGACTCTTTAAAATAGAGAGAATCTTATATTTAAAAAATCTTTTGGAAGTGTTCTTATATAATTATGATGTCAAACAGTTAATTCAATTGTAACATCACTTTTAGATTGACAACCAAATAATCAACAATTTTATAATAACGAAAGTTCTTAAAAAGCTCTATTGTTAAAAATCAATGTAATGCCCTCTATATTGACTTGAGGACTTAATGCAATTTAATGGAACTGTTATGAATCCGATCAAATAAATAAAGATGAGAAAATAAAGAAAACGTGAAAATAATGGATCACAAAAAGGAAGCAAGATTTACTTGAAATCCCAAATTCGTGAAAACCAGGGACAGAGACAGAAAATTTACTATAATTAATAGTAAGGAGATACAAATATTTCTTTAGACCAATAACTAATTGGACAATTTGTCAATTTTAATATGTGTTGTACACCACATATTTATAACTAAAGAATCTCTAACATATTAGGAGAATTAATATATGAAGAGTTTAATATAAAGTGAAATCTCAATACAATGGGTAAAATCAATAATGGAGATTCGGGATGAAATATGAGTCAAATTCACTTTGGACTCTTTCAAAACATCTTCAATTCTACTACTAACTCTCAATACTCCTCCAACATATTTCCAATCAAATACTCAACAAAAATTCGGGGCCACAACCCAATCTCCTATCAAACTCCTCATTTACATGTATTCCATTGTAAGGAATAAAACTTAACTCTTTAATTCCAACAAAATTCTCCAAACAAAATACTCTACCAAAATACTCCACATCTTCCATCATGCCCCTCCGAGCATACTCAACTCCAACTGAATTGTCGAACCTTCTCGAATCACCACAAGCAATATGATCAACAAGATCACAACTAACTTCACTCGAATTGCTGGGAAATTCTTCAATATCATTGTTTGAATCACTACGAGCAACCCAATCACAACCAACTCTACCCGAGTTACCGCTTATCGAAACATAAGCTATAGCTGCATTGAAAGTAATCGTCGAACCTTCCAAGATATATAAACAATCCTTAAATTGTTTCTCCAGCATCGAAACAAAAATCTGACATAACAAAATCTAATTGCAATCCAAAAGCGAAATCTCAAATTTCATATTTGCTATCCCTGAAAAAATCAACCTTGTTCAAATTGTGCTTTGTTTTCAATCGGCTCTCCCAAAAATTGTCAAAATCTTGGCTCTGATACCAATTGTTATGAACTAATCAAAATACTAGAATTGTTCTGATACCACTTGTTAAGAATTAGGCCAAAAAATATTAGTAATATAAAAATAATGGATCACAAAAGAAAACAAGATTTACATGAAAATCCAAATTCGAGAAAACCACATGCAGAGGTGGAAAATCCAGTAGAATCAATAGTAAGGAGTTACAAAGGATCTCTTGAACAAATAACTTATATGACAATTGGTCAATTCCAATATGTATTGTATACCACATATTTATAACTAAAGAATCCCTAACATGTTAGGAGAATTAATACATGAAGAGTTTAATATAAAGTGAAATCTCAATACAATGGGTAAAACCAATAATAGAGAATTTGGGATGAAATATGAGTCAAATTCACCTTTGACTCCTTCAAGACATCTTCAAATCTACTACCAACTCCTAATACTTCTCCAACAGTATTTCCAATAAAATAATCAACAAAAATTCAGGTCACGACTAAATTCTAACCGAACTGTTTTAGTTACGATGCTTTTATAATTAAGAAGGCTTCCTTTATCAATGTGTCTATGCTGAAATGTTTCACGGTCTGTTTTATTACTAGGAAAAATTATTTATATGACATTATAGAATTCACACGTAACACTAGAATATCTTAAAATTAATAACTTATTTATACTAGTCTGCATAAGAATAGCCGTCCATTTGATTTGACAAAAGTAAACCTAATTCACATAATTAATATATTTAATCCATATTTGGTTCAAGAGAACTAGTGGCTGACCTAGGAGGATATGTATAAATGGAAATTAGGGCTCATATACTCCATCAATCGTTTATGAATTTCAAATCCGACGGAATATTTTCAGGAACTCAGTGTATTCACATCAATGTATAAAATTAATGCAACTTGTGAGCAAACTGATGGAGTTAATTAGTGATACATGCTTGCTTTTCGTAAGTAGTAGACCCCTTATATACATCTATATATGCCACTTAATTTTAAAAAAATATCAAAAAATGTTCCTTTTGATGGGACCTTTGTTTCTTTTAATATCCTTCGTATTCCATTTGCATCGTAGCAAAAGATTTAGAATCGAGTTAATTAAAAGCATATTTTTTATGCTCAGGATGGTGTCAGTGTGAAAGAATATCCACGTGCCAATTGATACAGAAATTAGGGTTCCTGTTTATGTAAATTGTTTGATTTGACAAGATTCTTGTCTTCAAAGTTAAAGATGGGAGAGGTGGAGATTGAACCAACCTAATTTTTTGATTAATTTATTAATTAATCACACAAAAGGTCCAACGTAGGAAAACGCACTCTTTTTTGGACGGTGGGATTGTTTAAGGAGATTTGCCTTTTTTGTTTTTTGGTTACACACCATAACGAGCGCCCACACCTGCCCACCTCTAGACCTTGGTGTAGGAGGTAAATCGAGGAATATGCGTGGATTGGCCAGGGTTTGTGTGCGTTTCCACTGGCTTCCATTGAGGTTCTCCTCCTAATAATTCAAACTCATGCGAACTTCCCCTAGCTATGTAGGTTTTTTCTCCCACCTTGACATAATTTGAAATGACAGAACATGATTTAATAGGAAAACTAATTATAATTAAAATAGTTTAATGACATAATGTCACGTGACATTATATCAAACTTTATGTTAAAACATCTAGTATTGTAGCATGATTCTTATTTAAGACTGAAGAGCTAGCCCAACCGTCGTAAATAATCTTACTTTTTTAGCAAAAGTCCCAATTTTTGTTGTTGTAAGACTTAAAACTGCAAGTGCTATCAAAATTTCCACAACTCCTATGCTTAATTAACAATAGCTCCATCCCTTTGCATTAAGTATAAGTTGATGGGTTGTCAGTGCAATGTGCATGTTTACTTTAGTACTTGTAATCGACTTTTTAAATAGTAAATAAACTAGCTAGGACTTTTAGCTTTAATTCAGACTTTTAATTGTTATTACTTGCTTTAAGTACTGTTTAAAAGTTTATTTGTCTTTCTAGGGTTTTGTTAAAGATTTAGAGAATGGAGTAGCAGGGCTTCTTTTCCAGTTGTACTCATAAGTTGTTAAGAGAGTGTTTGGAGAGGATTAAAATTAGATTTTTAGTAGATTGTAATTGAAGTTTTTGAAATGTGTGGTTCAAAAGTTATGAGATTCATGAAAGATGTGGATAATATGAATTGTTTGGTTTTGATTTGGATTAAAATCAGATTTTAATTCGGACCAAACATGGGCTAAATGTTGCTGAGGGTTTTTATTTATACCATGGATGAAGATACTATTTATATGGTTTTTCCTCATTGTAAACAATTGATTTTCTCCGTCTCAACCTCTCTCAAACGTAGACAGTATTGTGTAGAGTTACTTATCTTGTCAAAGTTAACTTTTAAATTTACTTTCAAAACTAACAAAATTTATTTTTCCAAAAAATAAGTGGTCAAACATGCTTTTAAGGACGTAATGTGGTTTGGAAGTATTATATCCTACTCTACTAAGCCAAAAGGGTAAATTACGAATAATGTTAGTTTTCTTGACACCGGATTGGTGCACTAGATAGAATTACTAGAAGGGTATAATAGGAAGGCACAAAGTGGTAATGAAAAAGCAGCCCTAACATGGGCAGCTCATTGGTTCAACAAGAGTTGGAATTGCACATGACAAGCAATAGCATGATTACTAGATTCTAAACTGTTGTACACATAACCTTATGTTCAAAGAACAAGAACCAAGTGAGAGTGGCTGCATCCGTGTACACTGTCCATCTCCAACTCCAAATGATCTCTATCCAATCACATGCTGCCATGTAATGGTTTGCGGGTGTAATAGTCTTTTCAAGCATCATAAGTTATGTGTTGTCTTTAGATAACGAAATCCATCTACTTTAAGGTCATTTGTAGGTCGCACAGCGTTGTATGCTGTGAAATCCCATTTCCTAGAATCTGAAAAAATATTTTGAGCGATGTGTAAAGACATAAATTTGTGGTGGGTTCCAACCAAGGTGCTTGTTTGGATATTTTTTGTGACCAAAATCATGGAAGATAATTTGAGGATGTATATATAAAGCTTGCTACCTCCATATCCTAGAAAATTATCTGTGTTTTAAGGAGGTTTTTGAGGGTCGAAAGAGTGCAACAACCTCGAAGCTAGTTCAAACTAGTGGGAGGTTGTCTGCAAGGCAGCAAACTTAGTTAAAAGCTAATTACAGTATACAAGTAGTTCAAATTAAGCTAATATAAATGGCTCGTGGAAAGATTCAGATGAAGAGGATTGAGAATCCGGTGCATAGGCAGGTGACTTTCTGCAAGCGGCGCGCTGGGCTCCTCAAGAAGGCTAAGGAGCTCTCTGTCCTGTGTGATGCTGAAATTGGAGTTCTCATTTTCTCTGCCCACGGAAAGCTCTATGAACAAGCCAGCAAAGGGTACTTAAAATTTTCGTTGATAGTGCATGCGTTTTCTTTGTAATTTCATTATTACTAATTTTGTCTTGAATATATCATTGAAGAAGCATGCAGGGTTTAATAGAGAGATACATGAAAGCTGAACAAGTGATCAAAAATAAGGAAGTTCTGGTAAGTAATACATCTCTTGTTTAGTTTCTCTCTTCCCTTGAACTGAATCCCGTTAATGGTAGGTTAGACATCCTATTTCAAGTTTCGGAATCCCCTATAACTCCATTTTGTCTGTTGGGTCATTCTGCAAATAGAATTGTAGAATAGATTCGAATATGTGAATACAGTACATTTATGCAAAAAGATATTGCAGCTTTCATGATAAAGAATCCGATGCTGTTTAAATTGTAATTATAGCTTGATGAGGATGTAACTACTGTGCTAAAAAGCTGACAAAATTTATTGAATGGAGCCCTACTCTCTGGAGACAAAACTGTTGAACCTTTATATAAGTCTTTAGTTGAAAAGAAAATGAATTATAGGAGATTGAATTGGTTAGAATTTATTTTATTAGAAATTATCAATTAAGTGTATTTGATTGATATAATTTTTCACCTATAAAATATTGAAATTTTGGATCTTTTAATGTTCTTTTGACTTTGTTTTTCATGAAAATTGTTCATTAAAAACATCTAATTTATTACAATTGTGGATATTATTTGTTTCCATTACCAAAAAAATAAAAACCAAGAAAATGTGGAAAACTAATTCCATGAAAAATTTAGTCAATCAAACATGCAAAAATGTGGAAATTGATTTTAATTTCCATCTCCCATGGAAAATTTCCCCCAATCAAACAGGGCATTTTTGTTGTCAAGATCCTTCATGTGAAATCATTAAGAATTAATAATACGGAATGTACCTTAATTATTTAGGAATGATTCTTTATTACTGAATCTTGATTCCGGATTTTGAATTTTGAAGATTGACTCTTTTGATTATTGAGTACTTGATCTTGATTTTGGATTCTTACTCCATAATTTTGATTGTCTTATTCTTTAATTTAATTGCTCCAATCATTATTCTTAATTCTTGATTCTTGATTATGGGTTTTGAATCTTCTCATTCAATATGTTTTCTCCATTAATTTTTATGTTAATGAGATGACACAAAAAATGAGAAGTTGTACATGAATTGGAGACCCTAAACATATGCATAGTTTCCATATTTATTTGGTTCATCGTCAAATACAACCCTAATAAATTTGATCTTTACATATATAATTAGGCCCACATTTTATTTAGATGTCATGAACCCAACAATTTAATTCTTTATTAGATCACTTTAATTGAACTCAACTTTAAGATATTCTTATATACAATTAATTACATACATAGGTCAACATCACAAATTAATAAACCCAACAATAACTCCATGGGAATTGCTTTATCTTGCTTTATAAAATCACCAATATTCAGTATCTCTAGCTAAGTTTCTTTACCAATAACTTCGAAAACCTATGGTAGATATATAATTGTATCTCCCAGCTACCTCCATTTCTGGTTTTTTGGCTTTTTGACTGGAAAACTATCTACCTTCCGCATTGTATATTTAAGAAATATTTGGTACAAATCATAATCTAAGTTTTAATTTAAGTTAAAATCAACAATTAATTTAACAACATATTTTATGGATCCCACAAATTTTTAACCATAAATCTCATCAATTTCTATCAAAATTTACTAAAAATCTGTTTATAATCTCCACCAAACATGGCTTAAACAGAAAGTAAGGAAAAAAAAAAAAAAAAATGCAGAGTGAAGTTGATGTGCTTGCCTAAGCTTAAAATTTTACTTTTTTTAAGTAATTTTTAAAAAAACATATTTAAGCCCCAGATTGGTTTTAATTAAAATCCAATTAAAATTTCAAATCAAAGTCAACAATTAATTTTAACCCCACATTTTATGAGATCCACAACTTTTCAACCACACATTTTATCAACATCTATTAAAATTTACTAAAAATCTGATTTTAATCTCTATCAAACAAAGGCCTAAATAAGTTGCTTTTTATGTAATATTTTACATTTGGAATTAATAACTTACTTTTTATTCTAAGTATTAGTAATTTTAAAGAAAATTGTTTAAGCTTGGATGTGCAAAACTTTAGTATTTGCAAATCAACTTATTAATGCAAGCACAATATTAGATAGAGAAGATTGTGTGCTTGAATCAGCAAGCAAAATAATGAAAAAATACAAGTTATTGGAATGAAGCTTAGTTATTTTTTGGAAAAGAGCTAATTAATTAGCTAATTGTCGTCAACTTTCTTCTAGGATCTTAAAGATGAGATTAGTAAGTTGAAGCTTGAGATTGACGTTCTTCAGAAAGGGATAAGGTAAATTCCTTTTTCATATATTGGATTTCATTGTCATGAAAAAGTTGGATTTTTTTAATTTTTTTATAATACTTAAAGAATATAAGTTAAAAACATTGTTAGATTCGTATATGGAGGAGGAGATGGTTCAATGACCTTGGATGAAATGAATGTTCTCGAGAAACATCTTGAATTATGGATGTGCCATGTTCGCTCAGCAAAGGTATTCATAAATATATCATTTACAATTTTATCATAATCAATTCTTTATTAACTTTAAAGCCATTGTATATTTGTACAGATGGATATTATGTTTCAAGAGATCCAGTTGCTGAAGAACAAGGTTAGCCTATATATGCAGAATGGTCTTTCATTCTATTAAGAGATCCCCTTTTACGTATGATATTTTGATTTGGAAGGTCAACAGCATCGATTCAATTACATTTTTTTTTTTTTTTATGTTTATCGTGACACTAATAGAATTTAGGTAAACTTACAAAATACCTTTGGATAGAGAATATCTAATTTTAAACTTTACATGCTACATTCTACATTATGGTCACAAAAAATAACTTTTGCTGTAAAGTTAAAAAATACACCACTAAAAATAGTTAAATAGACCAAAATATCCACAATAAAAAAAATCAAACATTTTGTATCACGTTATTTAAAAATTTCCATCCCATTTTTAAATATATTTTATTATATTTATATGTTCCCTTCTACTAAGCTTTCTCAGAAAAAACTTTAGCAGTAAATACCAATAGAATTACGCATGCATTCTTAACAATTTTTTAAGTTGTAAAATTACCCCCAACTTAAAATGTATAAGAAATTGATTTTAGCTACAAAATAATAACTTATATAAATTGAACAAAAATTATTAATTAGAGAATATTAATTAATAAGTTTTATTTGTTTTTACATTGTTGGAAGAGTCAAATATATCTATATTTCTCAATACTCTTTTAACTTGTCTTTTATTGAGTTGATGTTAGAGTTTAGGAAAAGAACAAAATAAATTTTATATATCTTATACACAAAAAAATTATCATTTAAAGAACCGTATTTGTTAAAATTAATGCTTAGAAAATACTATATATGTAAAAGGTTACATAAAGTAATATATATGGTGTGATTTGTCATTTCAAATAAGAGTATATATAATAGTGCGTTCAGCTATAGATAATGACATATTTTCAATTTTTCAGCAAGTGGCACTTTTTGTAACCATTATGCAAAATGTAGATTTATAAATTACATATATAAATGGTGTATTTTTTAAATTTCTCTATAATTTATTATAAAACTAAAACAACTATTTCATGTCAAAGGAGGGAATACTGAAGGAAGCAAACAAGTATCTGCAAGATAAGGTAGCAGTCATTCTGAATATTCAAATATTAAAAAAAGAACTGTAATTCACTATTAATTTGTTTATTCCGAATTATTCACAATATATAGTTTGAATACTATTTTGCAGATGGATGAGCAATATGGGATTGATAGCATGGCACCAATGCTTACTAACACAGAATACCCTCTAATGACTAGTAATCAGTACCCACTAACCATACAAAATGAAATATATCAGTTCTGACATTTGTTCCATGAATTTAGGAGTGTTGTAATAAAAGAGTCGTCATATATATTGAGATGATTAGAATCTGTACCCATAAAACAAGTTTATTATTATTATTAAGCTTGTAGACTTGATTATTAAGCTTGTTAATGTTTTCCGTTGTCATTACATTGTGTAAAATATAGTATGGTGCATTGAATGGGTTTTGCATCAAGTTACATGTTGCTATCTACGACCTCTCTATATATAGTTATGTTGTAGAAGCATTGCCCGCACACTAAAGACTAAACTTATCCAATTAATTAATTTATACATCGAAGTAACATGGAATTTTAATTAATTGTGAATAGTTAGAAATACATTAATCCAAGTAAAAATGATGTCATATTAATATTTTACATTTTTTTTTTTTGCTGATACATACAATTTTACATTTTACGTAGAGAATATCTCATTTTTAGCGACTTCAATCCTCTAATTGATCCTTCATTTTTGGTTAGTTTGGCTTGTATTGGTCGGTTTAAGACAACTTGTCAACAAAGATTAAAGTAGATGGGTTGGGTTGGACAGATTTATAATTGACTCATAACTTATATAATATTATGTCTCTATAGTTGCAATGATCAAAAAATCTAAATTAGTTTGGCACTTCATGCCCGAAAATATTACATGGACAGATTGATATTAAATTATATGAAGTCAAGAAATGTTTTTGACAATTAAAATGTTTTTGTGTTGAATATATATTTTCTTATACTATTTTTTATAAAATGGAGTCTATCCAAGTCTCATAATATTATTTTAAGAGTTTCCATGTCTTGTGTCATATTCAAGACTTCTCGTATATCGTGTTTGAGTATATAGAACCTAGTTAATTAGTAGTATATAATTTGTGTATAGTTTTCTCAAACTTTTCAACTATTGCACAAAATTTTCCCAACAAGAATTGACATTTTAATCTATGTTTTTCTGAATATTGTAGCTCTTGGAGGTTGTGTGAAGAAACAGAGTGACTCAATTTCATCCAAGTAACATCATAACACTTGTAAAGTTCATAAATATGGTTGAGTTGAGCGAATTTATTCGATTTTCATGAGTTAACCTATAACCCGACCGGCCTATAAAGTTGGTTCGGGTGGGGCGGTTTTGACTAGTTTGATCGGACTTTGCCCACCCCTACCTGCAGAATTCATTTTAACGTGAGACGATGACACTTGAACGCATCACATTTGCATGCTTTGATACCATTTAATACTTGGGAGAAAGAAATAAATAATAACATCCGCTCACGACCATTTATCAGATTCTTTGACCAAGCCTCTTGAACCGCCAGCTTTTCTATTATTAAGCCCAAGATTGGAGTTTCCAATTGAAGCTTCATTTTACAAGATATATGTCCCGCAATTCGGGGTCATCCCCTCAAGCCATGGAGTCATCCATTTGCCTTGCATCACTACCTCTATCAACATTTATTCCCTTCCTACCCATTCAAGTCGAGTTCGCTAGTTCCCATCTCCCAATCAGCCTCCTCAACTCATGCAACAGTCACCTAAGGCACGGTGCACATTATAATTCATTTTAAAACTTCAAAAATTGAAATAATTTGTTTATGTTGAAAATTTGAAATTTGCCTATATATATGATTTGCTGGGACCATTTAGTATTTTCAAATAAATTCATTTGTTTGTTTGGCAATTGGTAGTCTTTGTCCCACATCAGATTTTGAATGTGAATGTGGAGACAAGAATGTCTTTAAAGGAAAGGAAGTGCTTGGTGGTCTGTGGCTACAATGCATGAGCCCATCAAAGTAGGCAAAAAGAGAATACATATGAACTGGTAAAATTGTGAGCGGTTTTATCGGTTCACGGTTAAACCGGTCAGCTATATCGTCCGTTGATCGAATTTTTTCTCTTCTGGTTAATATAGTTTGTTCGGACCAGATTTTAGGTGATTTCATGGTTTTATCGGCAGAGTTGATATGTCCGATCCGATTTTTATAACATTGCTTTTCATAGTGCGGATCGAGGATTGACAAAAAAAAAAAAAATCCAAAACGGGCTAATAGGTTAAAAAAAAAAATTACAAAAGGAGGACTGGAGCTGGTCTGGACTTTCCCTAAATCCGCGAATGGTGTTATTTTCTATTTTCTTGTTTATGTAGACAACATTCTAAACACTAGTAACCATCTGTATCATTTTCTCACTAGTCCTTTGGCTAAGTGTAGAAGTTCTTCGTACTTCTAATTGCATGTCTTTCACCCAACGTAAATGAATTATGCTATTTGTACATTCCTTAGTGATTTATTTGTTGACTTTATGTGTTGTCAAGATTCGTATTATGTATTATTTTAAATATTGTTAAAATCAAGGGCAAAAATATTGGTCACCTCACACAATATCAACCATACTATTAACCAGGTGTACTTGTAGTAAAACTGAATGTAAATGAGAGTTACTTGTTCGACTCTAAAATCATCTAAGTAAATAACACGGAATTAAACTAACAAATTAAAAGCAATAAGTCAATTTTTAATTGTTGTAAATATTTAGTCGATTAAGTCAAGATATCCTATATTGAACTGTCACAAGAATAAATAAAGTAGTAAACAATACAAAATTTATTGACAGAAAAAACCCTTTAACTGGGTAAAAATTTAAGGACCAAGCCAACTAATTTCCACTATAAACAATAAGAACTTACAGTATAATTCAGTCTAAAAAATTCACTAGACTTGCTGATCTAATTCATGCTATCTCCAAGACCCGATGGAACGTGTCTCATTCACACATGCTCTCAATTTTCTGGAATTGTTTATCTCCCATAGATCATCAAGAACACATTGTTCTTGTACTCTTCCTCTACTTCTGGTCCAACCTTTCTCAATCTTCAGCAACCTCTGAAAAATATTGAGAAAATATATTCCAAATTATATCTAGAAAGTGGGTGTTTGGGATTATTTGAATTTGATTTGTTTCCAACTAGTAGTTTATTGATCTTAAGAATCAAAATATTAATCTCAATGTTTGAATATGTTCTTGGATTATAGAATGAAGTTATAAGGATATAATATAATTATCAACCACACACAAAAAACGTAATGGGTATTGTGTATTTATAATAAGAGGTATTTGGACAATACATGATAGATAAAATTCTTGAAAAATGTGAACTAAGATTCTCGAAAAACACTATCGTTTGAGCGCCAACCAAGCCAAAGGCGAGCGAGAAGTGTGTCGCTCGAGCGACAGATGAGCGACAATGAATCTACTTTTTTGCTCAAGCATTAACTAGGTGACAAGCTAGCGTAAATCCAAAGACTCTTTTTCCTTGTTCCCTGGTCGAACCAAAGACTCCTAGTTCATCTATACAACCTTTCAAAAGACTTATTAACTCTTACAATTGTTTTATAACAATTTTTTTTTATAATAATCATTTTATCTAAAGAATTGTCAATACAATTAAAAACCTAACAATCTTTCCATTTAGCATTCTGTGATAAAACTATAAAATACAAGTCAATGGTGTAAAAACAAAACTAATCTACCCAAACTCAAACTGAAACTAAATGTCTGTCTCTTGTATTCCTTGTTAAACATGTTTCTTGAAATCAATAATTCAAATATCAAACATAAAAGTACGTGATACAGAAAATATAACAATTGAAATAGACTATCATAAATATGCCAGCTTGACTGAGAAGTAATACTAATGTTAATCAAAACACCAACTTAAACATTAATATTACAAAATATCAAAACTCAAAAAAGTTAAACGTTTAATAAAGCAAAACTTCTAATAATATCATCTCGTCCTTACTGCATAAAATTAAAATGCCATCATCTAATTGCCAACATCTATCCCACTTTTATCACAAATGACGAAAGAAAGTATATCAACAATATACAATATTTTAAAGATGTGGTTGATAGTATGCACAAGCATAATCAATAATTAGTAAATTTTTCCACATATTTAGTTCAAGTCTAAATGGAGTAAATTGTATAAGTGACTCATGTGTCTAAAGTGTAACTAATTCCTTGTGATCTAGACTCTAAACTTTAAATTTGTAAGAAATGACATGCCAAATATCACTGTTAAATAAGTTAATTCCCTTACTAATGAAATTCGAACCAATAATGCACATTAAATAAGCTCATTTTTCATGTATATTATTCTTTGCTTTCCCTGACTTTGAGCATATATACATTTTCGCATAATTTCTATTTTTCTTTTCAATTTTTCACATCTTATAACAGACTCTTTTCCATTGAGTTATTAAGATGACCATTGTAACGAGTTTTGGGTCGATGACTCCAAATCAGTTGACCATAGGGAATCTAGTTATGAGAAACCCTTAGACTTAATTGTCGAGTCAAATAGGTTTCGAAAAGAGTATAAGATGAAATAATGTTTTTTTCCCTTTTAAAGGGATATACTAGAGTTTATGATTACTAAATTAAAATAAATTTATGTTCAAGGTCACTTTACTAATAGATGAAGGTCTACAATACATCAATTAAACTCATACTTTGTTACTACATACATGTTCAAGTAAATCGTATATAATGCTGTAGAAAAAAGTTCATTTTAAAAAGATATACTAGAGTTTATGATTACTAAATTAAAGTCAATTTATGTTCAAGATCACTTTACCAACAGATGAAGGTCTAAAATACATCAATTAAGCCCCTGTTTGGGAGCCATAGTTTTCCCATTTCTAGAATTTTTTGTATCGTTATTTTCCACACAGTCGGGCCCCACTACACACAAAGGCAAGAAAATGGCTCCCAAACAGGGCCTAAACTCATACTTTGTTACTACATACATGTTCAAATAAATCATATATAATGTTGTAGAAAAAAATTCTTTTTTTTTTAATTTTCAATTTTTTATGTTTTTTTTTTTTAAAAATCGAACTACCTAAAAAATGAGATGTATGCAATAACGAATAATCACAATTAATAAGCATACACATGCATCAAAAGCACCTAATCAGTTAGGTATACAAATGCACTTAC